CTTTTTTCCTTCTTTCTTTTTTCCTTCTTTCTTTTTTCCTTCTTTCTCTTTTTCTCCTCTTTTCCTACTGTTTTTACTTCTTTCCTTTTTTCCTTGGTTTCCCTCCTTTTTTCTTCCTTTTGCCTTCTTTCCTCATTTTTTCTGTCTTTCTTTTCTTCTTTCTTTCTTTTCTTCTTTCCTTCTTTTCTTCTTTTCTTTCCTTTCTTTCTTTCTTTTTTGTCTTTCTTTCTTTCTTCTTTCTTTCTTTCTTTCCTTTTTTCTTTTATTTCTCCCTCCCTCCCTCCTTTCTTCCTTCCTTATCTTTTCTTTTTTCCTTCATTCTTTTCCCTCTCTTTTTTCCTTCTTTCCATTTTTACTTTATTTTTTTCCTTTTCTTCTTTTTTCCCTCCCTTCCCCTCTCTTATTTTTTTCTGTTCTCTTGTCATTCTGGTTTTCCTTTTTTTTTTTAAAACCTTATTTTTTCCCCTTTAGTCTTCCAACGTATTTCCTTTTAGATTTTAAGCCTGCCTTCATCTTTGCCAGGATTGCAGTGCTATTTATGTTTTAGCCTCAGAAAATATTAAGTAGTTTCACAGGAAAAAGGCCTTGCAGGTATTTCTTGTTACGTGGATTTAGTAACTTGCTGTAGTTCTAAATATACTTCTTAATATCTTTGGATTTGTCTTTTTTAAACACTGCAAAGTTTGAACTGTGACCATAAAATGAGGGATTTGGTTACTTACTGAATATGAGAATGCTTTTGAAGTTTATTTGATTTGACTGTTCTGTTTGGTTCTTCTTTTCCCCTATTTTCATCCTCCCCTTCACACCTGTACAAATCCTGACCTGTGCTTTGGGCACTGTGGATTTCCAATATTTAACATTAGGAAACGTGATATTTGGAATTTTTTTTTTTGTAGTGCACTAATTTTTCTCATCCTTCACTTTCAGGAACGTTAATTAATTTATTTGGGCCTTGCATAAGAGCCTCATATGGTGCCTGGACATACCAAGTGTGAAGCAAACCCACCTCCCATTTTTATTAATAAATTTTACTATATTTGCTAGTAAATTACTAGTAAAATATTATTTTTATGAGTAATTTTAAGCCTTTTTTTTCCCTCTGGGGCTGATCCTCGAGAAAAGTTAAATTTTCCTTTAAATTACCAGCTTCTGACCCTGGAACTGTCTCTGTGATTTCTGCTACCAGTTTGCACAAGTGACTGTTTTATTTGGTTGATATTTTAACTAAAGAGCCACCACCACCACAACCCCCACCCAGCATTTTTGGGGGGCTCCTCTCCATCCCTGTGTGCTCCCTGATGTCTTTGGAAGCACCGTGTCCCACAGAAACCCTCCTCTGGCTCCAAGAAAAGCAAACTCCTCCCCTCCATAATTTTCTCCTTCAGGGAACCTCTTCTTTTCTACTTTGGCATTTAGTCCTTAATATCTTGATTTTTTTTTTTTTTTTTAGCTTCAGCATCAGCCCCGGTGATGTGAAGCCTCTAAGACCACAGGAGTCTGTTACCTGCCAAAAACTGGGAGCTCCTGCTGGGTGCCTTGTGCTCTTAAAGAATTAGATGAATTAATTAGGAACTGAATTTAAAAGGCAGGACTTGGAACTTGAAGCTCTGCATTGATGGTGGTGGTGTAGTAGAAAGAATAATCCACAGTAGTTCTTCTGCTACTTTCTGGGTCGATGACATATGTGTATATCAAGATAGTCACAGAAAAAAACCCATATATATATATATGTGTATACACTATATATATATATAATTTATATATCTGGCAACTGGTTGTCATTTGAGGAGCTGCAAATGAAATTATTGCCCATGAAGTCTGGACAGTGATCCATCTCCTGAGGCAGCTTCTGGCTTTCTAAGAGCAGTTTCTAACCATTCCTCTTGAAAGGTGAACACATAACAGCACCATTTATCAGGAAAGTGGTCTTTTCTTGTGTTGAATCTTCTACCCTGTTGTGCTTCAATCCTGGCTGGATTCAGGATTTGGCATGGCAAGGTTTGTCCTGCTCTCCTGGCTCAGGGCACTTCCTGGGATGTTCATCCCACGAGCCAGCAGCGCTTTCTGCCCCTCAGCTGCTGCACAGGACTATTCCCAGACCTAAATTCCTCCAGAGCTTAGGTTTATAATCGGTGTTTTGGTTTCCTGGGATGCTTCCCAACGCTGCCAAGCTGGGAGGTGCCAGAGTTTGTGCTGTGTGCCAACACTGTGGCTCTCTGAGCCCTTTGGTACCAATGCTTTGAGTATTGGAGCCCTTTGGTGCCATTTCTTTGAGAGTCACGTGGCTCTAAATCCCAGCAGCTGAGTCCTTCCCTCCTCCTGCCTGGCTCCAGCAGGAGCCCTTTGGAAGGTTTTTGGGCTGCAGGTGCCAGGCCCAGCAGGGTAATGGCTGTGCCAGCCTTTTAGGGCCCTTGCTCAATCTCCATGACATCCCACATCTGCTCAGGCTCTGATGCCTCCACTGGTTTGGAGACTATCCTGGAAGTCCCCAACCATGAAGACACCATTTCCAGCTGGCAATAAATGGAAGATGTTTCATCTGGTGCCTCCTCCCTGATGAGAAACTTCATTTCTTAGAAGGATTTTTAAAATGGCCTATGTGTTTTTATATTGTACAATTATCATTTATGCTATTACTTATATATATTACTTCTATGCTGTTAATAATGCTCCTGTTGTTATCAAGCACCTGGGGATTCCCAGTTGAGAAGAATCTTCGTGGTCAGGGACAGCAGGGACATAATGGTAGTATTAAACACAGAACTTAGTAGTATCCTTAAGCTCCATGTACACATGATGCAATATTTTATCCTTACAATAACAGGATTAGGTTTTGTTCCTTTGATGACTAATGAGTAAAATAAATACATTGTTGAACTAAATCTTTCACATTTATGCAAACCTCAATGTCTTTCTTGCAGGTACCCCTGAGGATTATCCACAGTATTTCCATATGAATCTCACAACAGCTGAACTGACACTCCTCAAGCCAATAAATAGGGATTTACACCAGAAGTTTGACTTGGTTATTAAGGTAATTTTGGCTGAATTCATCTTTCTGTATTCTTTTGAGAACAAAAAGCCCTGAAGAAAATGTGGGGTGGGCTTGCTTGTCTTTCCTGCAGTGCTCTCTTTTCATTTTTAGCCTGTCAGGCATCATTTAACACCATCAAGGGGAACAAGAGTGTGAAGTATTTGAGAAAAGGGAATGAGTCATGGCAGAGTCCCAACAGTTCATGTTATATTGTATTAACAAACTTAAGTATCACTTGTCTGTTTGCTTTTTACGACTCCTGAGAATGCATTTGGTTTCTGTTTCACGTGTTCCTGTGCTGAAGGTTCATAGAGGTGCAGATAAGTGTGTGAGTAGTGAATATTCACAGGATCCCAGGATGGGTCAGGCTGGAAGGGACCACAGTGGGCATCTGGTGCCACCTCCCTGCTCCAGCAGGGCCAGCCCAGAGCACAGGGCACAGGAGTGTGTCCAGACAGCTCTGGAATATCCCCAGGGAGGACACTCCACCCCCTCTCTGCTCTCTCTTCAGGGCTGGGGCACTGCCCAGCTAACAAGTTCTTCCTCCTGTCCAGCTGGAACTTCCTGGCCATCAGTTCCTGCCCATTCCTCTTGTCTTATACTGGGAGCAAGGACAACAAAAAAAATCATCTCCACATCTTGTAGCAATTTTGTGGGGGTTTTCTTGGTTTAGTGTTGGTTTTGTTAGATTCAAAATAAAGCAACTCAGTCCAGAGCTCTGCTACTGAATAGAAAGAAAGCTCCTGAAACATAACCAGTGCTGATCTCAATCAGCTCCTGTTAATGGGAAAAGCCATAAACCATTCCCCATCCCTGGAAGGGTTCAAGACCAGGTTGGACAGGGCTTGGAGGAACCTGGTCTCAGCATGTCTCTCAACATGTACCTTCACCTGGTTACTGAGTCCCAGCTCTGCACATATAAAATATAGTCAGAATTTGCTGCTTTCTTTGCCAATTTGAGGATTAAGAGGAAAAGAATAGGAGGCGACAATATCAGCATTTGACTTGCTAAATGTACTAAGCTGTTAATTTTACTTTGAGCAAAATTGTACAAAGCTGAAAGCTTTGCTGTAGGTGGGGTTTGCACCAGGCTGCAAAAATCAGTGCAGTAAAGATGGTGGCAGTGAGAACAGAGCAGAGTTACGTTTGATTCTTTTGCAGAGAGTCTGGACCTGACCCTGGAGTTGTTGTCTAATGATGGAAAATCGAGGTTTTGTTCTGTTTATTCGTAGCTGGAGGGGCAAATAAAAGAGAAAGGAATCTCTGCAGCCTTGTAGTAAAGCACTTGTGTATTTATCAGGGCATTCCATGGAGGAAAAAGAGCGTGCTTTCAAACTGCACCACATTTAAACACATATTTAAACACTTAGTAGTATCGAATTTATTCCTAAATACAAATGTTCAACTCACACAGATAGTTTGGATTGGAAGGGACCTTAAAGACCATCTAGGTCCAACCCTCTGCCATAGGCAGGGATGCCACCCACTCAGTGCCACCCACTATCCAAATACAGTGGTAATAAGTTGGTTAATATACACAGGTCCTTTCTGTATCTCCTGAGGAACTGAGCTGTGAGTACAGTAGGACAGAAGATGAAACAAAATTGCAGCTCATAACAGTGTTGAATAACTTGGCACCTCTTTAAATACTGTGTTGATTTCCTCCCTTGGTTGATTTTTGAATGCAGCAAAGTACAAAGCTGGTGCATGCTGACAGTGAAATCATTTGGGATTGGATTCCATGATAAAAATCTATTTTGGGCCTTACTTCCTGTTCTGGAGTTCTGCTGTCACTGGGACACGTGTGGAAATTTGGGTGAATTAACATCTAAATAAATGGAGAGGGACTTTTCCCGAGGGCGTGTAGTGATACAACAAGGGGGAATGGCTTCCCACTGCCAGAGGGCAGGGATAGATGGAATATTGGGAAGGAATTGTTCCCTGTGAGGGTGAGGAGACCCTGGCACAGGTTGCCCAGAGAAGCTGTGGCTGCCCCTGGATCCCTGGAAGTGTCCAAGGCCAGGTTGGACGGGGCTTGGAGCAACCTGGGCTAGTGGGAGGTGTCCCTGCCCATGGCAGGGGGTGGAAAAAGATGATCTTTAAGGTCCCTTCCAACCCAAACCACTCTAAATATAGAATTCTAAATATTCTAAGAAATGGCAGAGTAAAGCCCTGGAGCACTTTGATTTCCAAAATTCAGCAGCCAGGTACAGTAGCACGACACACCAATTACAGCCACCCCTTACCCTGCTCTGGTGGGGCATCTCCTGAGCCTAAATGGCCCCTTTGGTTGTTAATGGCACTGTTTGTAGGCATTGCTGGTTCATGTTGCTGTGCTGTAGGTGCACTCAGGGGGATAATAAGGGAAATGATCAGTCTGTAAGAATGACAATGTGCCACCAGCTAGAATAATAAAAGTTTTAGTGCTGTGCTGTTCAGGGCCCTTTTGAACTGCTGTGATGTCTCAGGCTTGTACCAAATCAAACCTTCAGATTCTTGTGTTGCTCATTCTCAAGTTTTCATTTCTCGCAGCGCTGAAGTTGTTGGATCTGATTCTGTTTTATCTGTGTGATGTTTCCCTTCAAACAGAAAATACACTGGTTTTTGCAGCACTCACAAAATTCAATCTTTAAAATATTCCCTCTCATGTGAGGAGATCAATTTTTTTTTTTCCTGATAAGTTATTATGGAAAAGAGTGAAATGGAAAAGGTGGTTAAGTCAATACATAAATATTTGAATGCAGGAAGGAAGGTGGACAGGAAATGGGTGTGCTCACCTGTGGGACAAAAATTGGATTGCTGATAAATTTTGAATTCTTTAATAGGGAGACAATGGAAAAAACTAAATATCTTAATAAGAAATGCTGGTTTTCAGCCTCTGCGCTGTCTCCAGAACATAATAGATGATAAGCAAGGAGAAAAACTGTTTTGTCCTCCTGTGGCACTTCCATTCCCTGCCAAGCAATGTGGGCTTTTACAAAAGAACGTGTGGATTTTTTTGGGTGTCCCATTGAAATTTCCATATTTCATCAGGAAGGCTACCACACTGTGTGGATTTAGAACCTTTAAACTGAAAGGGCTTCCAGTGTTAATAATACTGTAATTAAAATTAGATATACATATGACCATTGCACTGTAGGCATGAGACTATGTTCTTGTTACCAGCTCTAAAAAGTGTTAGTGAGGTTTTATTTATTTTTAAAGCATGTATAACATGAAACCAAAAGGAGAATTAATCAAATTTTGATGCATTTGGATCCTTTCCTCTTGGAAGTTGGGTTATTTATCAATCAGACAAAATCTAACCTGGCAGTTCTATTATAATCAATTTGCAAAGAGGATGGGCTGCTGAAGGCTGGATGTGCTTACACAGCCAGTGAAACCTAATTCCTGGAATTGCTGCACTCCAGAGAATTTACCACATCTGTAAGAAACCAGATTTTGCTGAACTTGCTGCACATCAGGTGAGAGAACAGAGGAATGTTTTGTTGATCTCATGTGCACAGGGGAAATGAAGTTGATAATGTAGTTTTAGAGTAGGTTTACACGGAGCCTGTATGGTATTAAACCACTGTCCACTGTATTTAATAGTATTTGGGAAATTGAAAAGGATTTATGTAAATTGGGCATCTCAAAAAAAATCAAATTAGATTAAAAAAAAGAGGAAGAGGGGAAGGAGGAAAGAAGTTTCCCAGCTTCAAATCACATTTGTAGGCTGACTTTTTAATAAGACTTTTACTTGAAACAAAGAGTTTTATGGTTCTTAGGGAATAGACTCTCACAATCTGGTCTTGTGGGAGTCTTGAGGGGGTTGGAATGCCATGAGCACTAAGGCCCTTCCAACCCAAAGCACTCTGGAATTCTATGAAAAAGGGTTTTTTGGTGCCTTCCTCACAGTTTTGGGAAGAGAAGTGTCTGTGCCACAGTGGTGCAGATTATTTTGAAGAATATCCTTACAAGAGGATTTTCTGTATCCCGGGGACCTCTCTGTGTCATCCCCACGAGGTGTCTCTGCCAGGCTGTCCTTGGCCCGGGGTCAGATAACACCATGGAGACACTTCTACAGTGGGATTGCATTTCCCTGTTGTTCAGGTGGTGACAGAAGGTCAGACTGTTTGAAATTCCAGTGTCACCAGGAAATTGGCTTGTGGGCCCACTCTGCAGGAAGTGATGGGGAACTTTCCTGTAAAATTCTGTTTACTCTGGAATTTTTACTGGCTGGAATTTTTGAACAGAGTGGGATTTAGAATCTTTAGAAGGTTTTCCCCTGCTGAATTGTCAGGTTGTTATATAGGCTGACATTAGACACAGGAGGTGTGAGTAAGTCAGGTGTACTTGCTGTGAGCATTTCTGCGAGACTGAGTAGCAGCCAGACCAAATTCCATGTTAATCAGGGGAAATTGTGAGTGAACTCAGCTTCATGCAGAAGATGCCATTTGCAGTGACATTCCTGGGCAGGAATTTGTGTGCCTGTTGTCCTGCCCATCCCAAGAAAATACCTGGGAGCTGGAAACAGCTTCCTCACAAGGGGCACTGGGGGGACAGCTCCAATCTCTGCTCCCTGTGACAGTGACAGGACCCAGGGAACAGCTGGAGCTGTGTCAGGGCAGGCTCAGGTTGGATCTCAGGAGAAGGTTCTTCCCCAAGAGGGTGGTTGGCACTGACCAGGCTCCCCAGGGCAGTGGGCACAGCACCAAGGCTACCAGAGCTCCAGGAGGGTTTGGACAACGCTCTGAGGGACAGGGTGGGATTGTTGGGGTGTCTGTGCAGGGCCAGGGGTTGGACTGGATGATCCCTGGGGGTCCCTTCCAGCTGAGGATACTCCATGATTCTGTGATTCCTTTCTTGTGGAGGTGCTTTGGATCAGGGAGATGCTCCCAGAACATGTATCAGCTGTTCCAGTACAGGGAAGCCCTTCACAGTGTGCAGAATTTTCCCTGATCTGGATCTCAGCAGAAACAACAGAAAGTTGGTACTCTCCTGCTCCTCCCTCAGGAGAT